TGTCAGTGACTGCTTGGACAGGATGGAACATTTTATGGCATGTGAAACTGTAAACCTGGACTCCATCTTTAAGAGACCTGTGCACGCCTGCTTCAGTAAATCCCTCCCTGACCTGTAACTACAAACAGAGCCAAGTCAAACTGTTTGTACCTGCTAACCTAAAAGACTGCTATAGTAGAGATGCGTGTCGCAGGAGGCGGCTATAGTAGAGATGCGTGTCGCAGGAGGCCGCTATATTAGAGATGCGTGTCACAGGAGGCCGCTTTATTAGAGATGCGTGTCGCAGGAGGCCGCTATATTAGAGATGCGTGTCACAGGAGGCCGCTTTATTAGAGATGCGTGTCGCAGGAGGCCGCTATATTAGAGATGCGTGTCGCAGGAGGCCGCTATAGTAGAGATGCGTGTCGCAGGAGGCCGCTATAGTAGAGATGCGTGTCGCAGGAGGCCGCTAAAGATATCTGCCAAGTTACAGGTTAACTCCGTTACAAAAACTAGAGGCCACCACCTAAAGTTGGTGGAAAACAAATTCCAGCACAAGGGGCAAAGGGGGTTCTTCACGGTAAGAGCGGTAAGGGTCTGGAACCCTCTGCCACCGGCAGTGATTTCAGCCAGGAGTGTGGAAATGTTCAAGAAACTCTTGGATGATTTCCTGAGGGACCGTAATATACAGGGGTACAAGTACTCCTAAGAAAGAGATGATGCGCGGACTGATATGGGTTGGACTTGATGGACTTAGGTCTTTATTCAACCCCAAATACTATGTAACAAGAGGCCGCTCCCATGTTATAAGGCAAGCGTCTCTGCTCAAGATGAAATATCCAAACCCCAAAACCTACAGTAGCGGAACCGCACCATTAGGTAACATGCCTGACTCTATTCTTGTAATTGTTACCTCTGACGTCAATGTATCGTTCTTATTCCCACACATGGCACCTATACATTTTTATTCTCCCTCGTGTGTGTTTTGTTTTTTTTTAGACCCAGAGCTACTCATTCTGGAGACTAATACAAGTGAATGGAATCCTCCTATTTAACCCCTTTTTCCCCTTCTCCTTTCACCCCGTTTCCGTAGATTTCAGCACTTATTCAGATGCCGTAGAAATAATTTTATGATAAAACTTTCATCCGAAAAGACGTCATTTTCCTGTTTCATTGCGGAAAATACTGGAGGTAAAGCCGGCTTTGTCAACTGTCCCTCTTAGGACAATAGAAAATAGTATATTGTTACATTGTAATTCTCGATATTGTTACATTGTAATTCTCGATGTTGTTACATTGTAATTCTCGATGTTGTTACATTGTAATTCTCGATGTTGTTACATTGTAATTCTCGATGTTGTTACATTGTAATTCTCCCCTCGATGGTTTTGTCTTTTTGGTTGGTGTGAGAACATAGGACTATGGTAGGGACGGCTCGGTCTTATCTCCGTGTTTTTGTTTGACTTCTTCTGCCTGTCTCAGTATCAGGGGTGGGGAAGGAAAGCCATTGTTGACCGTGTCTTTTCTCCGGCTGCTCAGGAAATAATATTTGGCTGTTGAGGAAGTTGTTGAAGACGATGGTTGGTTTTGTTTTTTTTTTGTCATCCTGGAGATGATACGCGCTGGTTTCCCTTTTTTTAGAGATCTTCTAGTGCACAGATTCTACCCCGTGGTATTGAATTGTTTGCATTGCGGATCGATACCATCCCGTAACCGCCCCCGAGGTAATGTAAATGTATAACTGTAGTAATGTACACAACGTGTCTGCTTTAATAAAAGGATTTCTAAGTGCTGGCCAAGCATAGAACAGAGCTGGCTTGTCAGTCTGGCACCTACACGGGATCACAAGGTCAATGGAAAACCAACAGAAGCACAACATCAAATAAAACGGACACATGGGCTTTGAAGGCCAC